GCTCTTTTAATGGTGGCAAAGAATGGGAAGCTGAGGGGGTCCCCATCAACTGGGTAGTGACTGAACAACTTATGGAATATAAAAACAATAGAATTCTATTATGCTATAAGAAATGATGAAGGGGATGGTTTCAGAAAAACCTGGGAAGACTTGTCTATACTGATGCAAAGTAAAGTAAGCAGAACCAGAACATTTTATGCAGTAACAACAATATTGTAAACACCAACAGTTTTGAAAGACTTAGGAACTCTGATCAACATAATGACCAACCATAATTCCAGAGAACCCATGATAAAACATGCCACCCGCCTTCAGATAGAGAAGTGATGAATTCAGAGTGCCAACTGAAGCTTAGGGTTTGGTTTTGTTTTATTTTTGACATGGATAATGTTTTGTTTTGCTCAACTATATATTTTGTTTTGCTTTGTTGTTTTTCAGTCATTTTCAGTTGTATCTGATGCTTTGTGACCCCTTTTGGGGTGTTCTTGGCAAAGATATTGGAGTGGTTTATCATTTCCTTCTCCAGCTCATTTTACAGATGAGGAAACTGATGCAAACAGGGTTAAGTGACTTGCCCAGGGTCACACAGCTAGTAAGCGTGTGAGGCCAGATTTGAACTCAGGAAGATGAATTTTCCTGACTTGGCCTGACACTCTATTTGCTGCACCACCTAGCCACCCACATATTTTCAAATATGGGTATTATTTAAACCTAGATTTCCCCCTGTATCTTGCCCCCACTCCCTCCTAGAGAGTCATGTCTTATAACTATGAATTTTTTAAAGTGAAAGAAGAGACAGAATTCAGCAAAACTGATCAATACAGTGAAAAAAAAATCTAGCATGCCCAATGCTCCCCACCTCTGGAATAGGGGGACTGTCTTCTCATATTTCTTCTTTGGGGTCAAGCTTATTTTTTCTACAGTTTTGCAGCATTTATTTTTAATTGTTTTGTGGTGGCTGTTCTTTCTCTTTACATTGTTATAGTTATTGTGTATGACAGGCGGCTCTGCTTAACCGCTTTGTATCAGTTTATGTAAATCCTTCAATGCTTCTCTACATTCCTTATATTCATCATTTCTTACAGCACAGTAATACTCCATTACATCAATGTACCATAATTTGCTTAGCTATTCATTAATCAGAGTATCTACTGTGTTTCTAATTCTTTGCTCCCACAAAAAAAAAAAATACTGCTATTAACACTTTAGTGTAATATGGAGTCTTTTTTTTTTCTTTTTGGTCAATGAATTCCTTGGGGAATAATGCCTGGGAGTGGACTCTCTGGACCAAAGGGTATGGATATTTTAGCCACTTTGTTTGCATAATCCCAAATAACTTTCCAGAAAGGTTATACTAATTCACAACTCCACCAACAATGCACTAGTGTGCCTGTCTTTCTGAAACCCTTCCACAAAGTCCGTCAGCTAACCTCTTACTTCTGAACAGCCTTAATATGGGACCATTCTCATCTTTGCCAACTTGCTGGGTATTTGGTAAAAAAAAATTGTTTTGATTTGCATTTCTCTTATTGTCAGTGATTTGGATCAGCTGTTAATTTTCAAAGTGCTAGGGGAGAAATTCATCTGGAAGAGTCTTTTAGATAATACCTGGTTTGAACTCTTTCTGAAGGCTAGGGGCAGACTTAGCACTCCAATCTCTGAGCCCTGAAAATTTGCAAAAGATGTGAGTAGAGGTTTGAGCCTGGTGTCCAGCCTGCTGTTTGATTCCTTTGGCAAAGACTCCTCAAAAGCAGTAATGCTGTAATGACCACAAGGCTACTTCCTAATGCTACCTGTAGAACCTAGCGTTGCCCTTCAGGTTGGGAATTCAATTGAATTCAACAGACATTTATTAGTTACCTACTGTGCAAGGTATCCAGATGAAGTTCATAGAGAAATAGCCTTGAAGTCAGTTTCATGTCCTGCCATTGTTGAATACTAGCTGTGTGACAAAGGGCACATCCCCTTACCTCTCAGAGATACAGGCGATTCTCCAACTCTAACTATGAACAGTGATGAGCAGGGCATCAGTGGAGCGAATCACCTCTGAGAAGTCCCCTACCATGATGAAATTACAGGTCTGGACCCAAAACAAAAACAACAAAACAACAACTGTGGTAGATATTGAAAGGAAAAACACAAAACAGTTCTTACTCTCACACAGGTTACATTTTACTGAATCATGAACTGAGAGTAACGGAGTAGGTGTTATATACCCTGAGACCCTAATAGGTTCTTAATTAATTGATCAATATTTTTTGAAAGAATAAATTTGTGCCACCTTTTAAAAGTCCATCAGCTAGCCCCTTGCTTCTGAATAGCATTAATATACCTCTAAATTGGGCTGAGGTGGGAATAGGTTGGGAGGTGGGACACAGAGGTGTCAGGGTACGCTGCCTACAAAGAGAGTTAGATTCAAATCTCCTCATGCCCAAGAAGCAAGGTGGAAGGCATCCTCATCTTAAATCAGCAGAAGCTGGTTTTGAATCCCAGCTCTGACACTTATCTCCTAAAGACCCTGGGCAAGTCATTCATTCTCTCTGTACTTAATATGAAAAAAAAAAAAAGATCAAACACAGTAGTCTATTTTTTGAAAAATGCAAGGACACCACCTACTGGGGGTAAGGACTCTCACAAAAATGACTGGAAAAACTGGAAAGCATTTTGACAGAAATTGAGTTTAGACCAATATTTACACCATGTACAATAACAAACGCTGAATAAATACTTAGCCTAAATAAAAAGATCACATTGTTTTTAAAAATAGAGAAGAATGGAAAGAGGTACCTTTTGCAATGATGAGTAAAGGAAGAATTCTTAACTACATATCAGAGTAGTACCATAGATCCAGAGCTAAAAGGGACCTCAGAAACCTACTAGTCTATTCCCCTTATTTTATAGGTGAAAATACTAAAGCTAACTAAGGGACTTGCCTATGGTCCATCCAGCCATCTCCAGAAAATTATTACCTTTTATCATCCTCACTCTATCAGTAATCTTCACCCTCTCTTGTTGTTTACTGGATGCTTCCCTCCTGCCTACAAGCACACACATCTCCCCATTCTCAAAAAACCCTCACAAGATCTGTCTATCTCTCCCTCACCAACTATTGTCTTATGTCTCTCCTCCCCAATGCATGTAAACAATGGAAGGGCTACTGAACCTTAAACTGAATTCTTGAATTTGCTGTTCAATTGTTTTCAATTTCAGTCATGTCTGACTCTTTGTGACCCCATTTGAGGTTTTCTTGATATAGATATTGCAGTGGTTTGCCATTTCCTTCTCCACTTCGTTTGACAGATGAGGAAACTGAGGCAAACAGGCTTAAGTGCCTTGCCCAGGGTCGAACAGTGTCTGAGGCTGGATTTGAACTTAGGAAGATGAGTCTTCCTGATTCCCTGCCCAGTATTCTATCCAGTACGCCATTTATCTGCCCCAGAATCCTTGAATAAGAGAGGCCAATAGCCAAGGATATAACTAATTTATTGCCTGGGAGCTAGGAAAGCTTCCAAGAAGAGAGGATGATTGATATAGACCCTGAAGGATGGGTAGAATGTCAACTGGCAGAACTGGGGAGAGAAAGCAATGAAGGGCATTCTAGGTGCACAGAATGATGTGAACAAAGATTCAGACCCCTGAATCATAGGATTATAGATTTAGAACTGGAAGGCAACCTGAAGGTAAACTAGTCCATTTTGCAGATGAGAAAACGAAGCCTGGAGTGGTAAAGTCATTTTCCCAATTTCACACAAAGAATAATCAGCAAAGTCAATATTTAATTCCATGTCCTCTAAATCCAAGTCCAAGTCTCTATCTACTGTACCATGTTGCTTCCATACAGGAGAAGAAGGGGAAAAAAAAGCTATAGAGGGACATTATGTAGCTTCTCAACTATTTGATAGGCTGTCACTTGGAAGAGGGACAGCTAGGTGACGCCATAGTACACAGAGCACTGGGCTTGAAATCAGGAAGACATCTTCCTGAGTTCAAATCCGGCCTCAGATACTTACTTAGCTGTGTGACCCTGGGCAAGTCACTTAGCCTTGTTTGCCTCAATTTCCTCATCTGCAAAATGAGCTGGGGAAGGCAATGGCAAACTACTCCTATATATTTAGTAAAAAAAAAAAACCCAAATGGGGTCATGAAGAGTCAGACAGGACTGAAGGACAACACTTCGAACAAAGACTTAGCTTTATTTCCTTTGCCTTTGTTGTTCGTACTTCGTTCTCAAAGAGGACCAAAGACACCAGGAGGATGATGTATTCACTTGCAAGTGAATTGGATTTACGTGAGGCAGGGCTGTGCAAAGTCACCAGCCTCAATCTCCTCCAGGGTCATCTGAGTCCAGCAGCAAGACATAAGTCAGGACGGCTGGCAATGCCCCTTGCTTTGCCCTAGAGAACAGAGCTAAGACCGGTGGGTGGAAATTACAGAGGTGGATTTCAGATCAGTATAAATGAAGAGCTTGGTAACTGTCAAAACAATGCAGAAATAAAGTGATCTCCCTGTCACTAGAAGTGTGCAGTTTGGATCGCTGGGTCCGAGACCTTTTGAAAGCTGGGAGAGAGCTTGCAAAACCATCTTAGCCAAACTTCTCATTTTGCAGATGAGGAACCCCAAACCTACAGAGGTTGTGACTTGCCTAGGGCTTTGATAGCATCAAAGACCAGAAATCCAGCATTCTTTCCACTATACCAGGATGACCACGTGGCCTGAGAGGTCGTAGAGTGCACTCGTGTTTCAGGTGGACAAGGTGACGCAAGGCACCTTCCAGATCTAAACCTACGTAGGTTTTACGGACGGTTCCAATTCTGGACTTCTATTTTTCTTCCCTTCCTTCAGCGACGCTCCCTTTTCTTGCCCAGTTGAGGTTAAGAAATGCCCTCCGATCCCTGCCGGCACCCTCCAACCCCCCCCCCCGAAGAAGGCGGGTCCTTGTTGCCATGGAGACAGCCTGAGCTGGGGAGAGGGGCACCTCTGAGAGCCAATAGGAGCCGGAGTGGGGCGGGGCCGTGCTGGGCCCGGTGCTGATGTTGAGAGGTTAGGAGGTTCGCTGCGGGACTGCTGGGGGAGGGGCGCGGGGGCTCGGGGCCCCGGGGCTTGGGGGTGGGGTGCCGGCGACTTCAGTCCATCGCTGCCAGGCGCGGTGGGCTCTGGACTTCTGGCCTTGGCCCCAGACGGGGCCGGAGAGGGATGCTAGGGCTCTGGGCCTGCGCAGGGGAAGAGAAGCTGGAGCAGCTCGGGGTGGGCAGTGGGGACCGGGACGCGGAGAGGGATGCACGGGGATGCAGGCGCTGGAGCTGGGAGCGCACGGCGGGGGTTGGGGGAGCATGGGGGCAGACAGCCCGCGATGCAGCGAGGGGTCCGGGCGGCGGAGTATCAGCCTGGATCTTTCTGGATCAGCACTGTCCGAGGAACTCAGAGCACCGCACAGACAGGATTTCAGCCTTACTCCCGACCTCTGGGCCCCCCGGAATTATTCTTTCACGTTTTGACGATCGGGGGACCTGAGACCCCGAAGGAGGTCACTTACCTAAAAGAAGCAGGAAGAAAAGGAACCCAGACGTCCTGCTTCCTAGTCAAGCTGAGCAGGATGCAGTAACTCGGGCTTTGGGGACTTGGGAAAAAATGTGAATGTTGATTTCACTCCCCTCCCCCTTCCCCCACTCCTTTTCTCTTTTCCAGGCGACTGGTCATGCTGACCCAGCGAGACCTGATAAGCATGAAGCTCTTACCCCTGGTGGCGTTGGCCTGGTGTTTGGCCATCCCCCCAGCTCAGGCCGGCAAGGTGAGGCAGATGGGCTGGGAAGAGTGAGATGTTTGGGTCTGCTGGTTTACATAGTGACGGCCAGAGCCTAACCCAGACTTGCCTCTCCCCAAAAGTAGCTGTAGTAAGTCCCGCCGTACTTTGGGAATTCAAAAGATTCCACGCCAGGTCTCGTGGTCCAGTACTCTTGGAGTCAGGAGACTTGAACTTAGTGCTGGCTTGTGCTTCTCACAGCCTCAGTTTCCTCCAGTCGCAAAATGACGGAAATTGCTCTGCCCCCTTCACAGAATTGTTGCGAGGACAGTGCTTTATAAACCTTAAAATGGCATACTAATTCTCGGATCCTGTGTTTGGGTTAAGGGAGGAAAGGGTTGAGCCCCAACTCGGGAATAAATGAACATTCCTGTGGTGCTCATCAGTTCAACCGATGCTTATCTAGGGCACACTATCTACAGAATTATGTACTGGGGGCTGGAGAAGGTGTAAAAATTCACCGACACACAAGTCCCCTCCCCTGGTGGAGCTATTATAGAGGTGGAGTGTGATAGTGGAATCCCTGCTATGACCGGCTTAACCAGGAAGTGCCTTTCTCTTCAAACTGTTCCTTGTATTTAGCTTTGTATTTATTTGTGTTTATTTCTTTATATTCTATATGTATGTCTTGGTTGTCATTTCCACTCCAATGGAAATTCTTAGGAATAGGTATTGCTTCATTTGGGGCAGCTAGGTGGCACGAGTGGATCGAATGCCTGGCCTGGAATCGGGAAGACTCATCTTCCCAGTTCAAGTCTAGCCTCAGACACTAGTTCTGTGTCCCTGGGCAAGTCACCTAACGCTGTTTGCCTCCGTTCCTCACCCTTAAAATGAACTGGAGAAGGAAATGAAAAAAAATCACTCTAGGATCTTTGTCAAGAAAACCCCAAACGGGGTCACATGCAGTCTGAAAGGATTGAATGGCATTGTTTAATTTATTATGTTTTTATCATTCCCAGCAAGCACTCAGCACGATTTCTGGCACAAAGGGGGTACTGAATAAATGCTTATTTTTGGTTTTTGTTTGTTTGGCTAAGCAATGGGGTTAAGTGACTTGCCTGAGGTCACACAGCTGGTAAGTGTTAAGGTGTCTGAGGGCAGATTTGAACTCAGGCCCTCCTGAATCCAGGGCCGGTACTCTATGCACTGCACCACCTAGCTGCTCCTGAATAAATGCTTGTTGAGTGATTAGATTAGAACATGTACTTGAAGTCAGAAAGACTGGGTTTGAATGCTGTCTCTGACCACTGTGGATTACTTAACCTCTAACTTTCACTTTCTTCATCAGTAAAACGAGGGAGATGAAGACCTCTAGTACCGATCCCCCAGGGTCCTTGAATGTACAGAGGAGATAATGAATGCAAGTGCTTGCAGTGGAAGAGTTGCAGTGGAAAAGTCGATGTTGTTGTTGTTGAGATTATCACACCTCCCCTCCAGGGTTCACAGACCTAGGCCCACTTAGAACCATTTGTCGTTGTGGTTGTTCAGTTGTTTCAGTCCTGTCCAACTCTTTGTGACCCCATTTAGGGTTTTCTTGACAAAGATACTGGAGTGGTTTGCCATTCCCTTCTCCAGTTCATTATACAGTTGAGGAAACTGAGGCAAACAGGGTTAAGTGACTTGCCCAGGATCATATAGCTAGTAAATATCTGAGGCTGGATTTGAACTCAGGTCTTCCGACTCAAGGCCCTTGCTCCACCTACCTGCCCTACTTAGAACCGTAAAACCATATAATCTTAGAGCTGGAAGGGCCTTTAGAGATGATCTAGTCTCTTCATTTTACAGATATGGAAGCTGAGGCCCAGAGAGGTTAAGTGATTTGCTCAGTGACCCAGCTACGTAATGGCAGAGCCAAGATTGAGCTCCAGGGGTCCTGATCTGTTCCAGTGCTCAAGGCCTGCAGCTTTCTTCCAGGACAGGAGGCTGAGGGTCCAGTGATGTGGCCACCTTCAGTTGCTAGCTAGCCTAGGTCCAGGAAAGATGAAGATGCCAAATCCAATCTGATGAGCGTTAAAGAGAGGCATAGCCTCAATTCTGGGTCACTGCGGAGAGAGAGCGCTTTGATAAGAATGCCTTGGGTTTTGCCTTTATTTCTCCAGCTTCTGGTACATAGTGAGCACTTAATAAATGCTTGTTAGGCAGGTGGATTATACGAATAGAGCAGAATAAGATCTGGGTTCAGATCCAGCCTCAGACCCCTACTAGCTGTGAAACATGGGGCAAGTTATTTACCTCAGTCTGCCTCTTTTTCCTCAACTGTAAAATCAGGATAATAATAACACCTACCTGCCAGGCTGGTTGTGAGGCTTAGATGAGATCATTGTAAATCCATTAGCACAGTGTGTGAGATGTAGGGCTTAACAAAGCTTGTTGATTCATTGGTTGATCGATCAATTGATAGGGGGGGTCACAGGGCAGGGGGTTTTGCCAGGAGTTGGTGCCCTGCCTCCCAGCCTGACCTGTGTTTCCTGTTCTCTTCCAGAGCTCCGAAGACATTCGGTGCAAATGCATCTGCCCACCGTATCGTAACATCAGTGGACACATTTACAACCAGAACGTGTCACAGAAAGACTGGTAAGGCGCTGCCCAGTTCAGCCGTCATCCCTCATAGGGGCTTCCTCAGGAAGTCATCAGTGGGCCAGTACTGCAGGGCCTCAGATGGAGGCGAGGTCACCGCCTTCCAGGGATGCTTAGAGGACGTTGCTGTTTAGCTGCGGGTTGGACCACATGGCCTCTGAGGTCTGTGGTAATCTGAGATTCTTTCCTTTACTCACCTGCCACATCTGGGGTCGAAGAATAACTGTGGATGTTTTGGAAACTGTTTTTCTCATAGATCTCTGGGGAAACATGGCTATTTCCTGGAGACACTGAGGAAGTAAGATATACAGAGTCAGTCTGCCTGTTGGAAATGGGGTCTGGGGACCCTGTCCCCCAAATGAAGTGGTTTGGCAGTTCCACTGTTGTTGAGTCATTTCAGGGGTGTCCAATTCTATGTGACCCTATTTGGAGTTTTCTTGGCAAAGGTACTGGAGTGGTTTGCCATTTCCTTTTTCACCTCATTTTTACAGTTAAGGAACTGAGGCAGTCAGGGTTAAAGGACTTGCCCAGGGTCACACGGCTAGTGTCTGAGGCTAGATTTGAATTCGGGAAGATGAGTCTTCCTGACTCCAAGCCTAGCACTCTACCCACTGTACCACCTAGCTGCAGTTTGGCAGAAGGATAGGTTATTAAATTTAAGTCTTTATGCTACATGTAGATGGAGATTGGGAAAGCTGAGGGAGTGCCTTCTGAAATAGGGGGAGGAGGAAGGGAAGAAAATAGGTCAATTCTTTGTACTTTTTTCAAAGCATTTTCATTTCTCCTTCTGATGCTTAAAAGCCCACAGGCTAGCAAGGCTGGTTGGTGTAGTAGGAAGAACACTAGAAGTCAGAAGTCCTGGGTTCAAATCCTTGCTCTCTCACTTCTTGAGCAAGTCTATTCATTTTTCTGGGCCTCAGTTTCCTTGTCTGTAAGGATTATGGTAGGAGGCAGCTAGATTGTGCAGTGGATAGAGCTCCAGCCCAGGAGTGAGGAGGACCTGAGTTCAAAACAGGTCTCAGACCAGACACTTCACACCTACTAGCTGTGTGACCCTGGGCAAGTCACTTAATCCCAATTTCCTTGCCCCCTCAAAAAAGAAATGGGGTATATTAAGGATAATGGTAGGCCTCAAAAATCTTTAATACACATTCCAGGGTTGTATCCTATGACTCTATGGGTAATAACAGTTGTCATTTACAAAGCATTTTAAGGTTTGCAAGGTATTTTACATACATTATGTCATTTGAGCTTCACAACAACTTTGTGGATGGGTACTATAGTTATTTTTATTCTCCATTTTGCATATGAGGAAACTGAGGCTCAGAGACATTAAGTGACTTACCCAAGGTCATACAGCTAATAACTCAAGTCTTCCAAGCTCAGCACATAGTCTATCTACTAGGCCATATTTCCTCTCAGAATAGTGTCACAGAGCCTCAAAGAGGTTGTGCCTTTCCCAAGGTTACCTGACAAATTAACAATAGAGGCCAGGTCTCCTGATGCCTGGTCCGAGACCCTTTCTACCCCATCTTAGTTTCTACCTGCTCCTGGCAGATTCCATCAAAGCCACAAATCCTAACGTTTGGGAGGAGGTCCCTCGTTACCTCTTGTGGCCACGGCTTTATCAGCAGCCATGGACAGTTTGATGAAATGTCTGGCTGTGCCTTGGCCACACACAGAGCTGTCCAAACCACCGCTCCTTCCTTCCCTGAGCCCCAGATCTGATGTTAGTAGCCCTCCCATCCCATCTCTGGACGTAGACCTGCCCCCCAACGCTGCAGGAGCCACGGCTTGGGATCTCTTGCTGGGGTGGCCACAAGGGTCTGTCTTCCTTCTCTTCCCCTCAGTGGTCAGAATTGGGAGGATCTAGGAAAAGGTGTTTTTTTGAAGTGTGATGGTTCAAAGAGGCCATGCGATGTGGGAGAGAGCATATCTGGCTTCGGGAGAACCTAAGTTCCAGTCTGAGTAGCTACCTCGGCAAGTCACATTATCTCAGTACCCTCAGCAAGTCAAAAGAGCTTAGCCTCGGTTTCCCCATCTGTAAAATGGGAATAACAGTACTCAGACCACCTACCTTGAAGGTGTTTCTGTGGAGAAAGTGTCTAGTACAGTGGGAAGAATGCTTGACACCTGCATTCAGATACCTTGGGTAAGGGACTTGAGCTCCCCGGCCTCAGCTTCCTCACCTGGATAAAGAGAGGGTTGGACCAGAGCCCCTGGGATCCCAGGTGCTCCAGAAACGGGAGCTTTTGTTCATTACTGATCTCAGCCCTCGATTGTCCCAGCGGTGCAGGTGACTTGGAGCGTGGCTCATCCTATTACAAGGTTTGAGGTCACAGCCTCCCTAGGTCTTCAGGGGCTTGCACGGAGGCCCCGTCAGGGAAATCCTGAGCATGTGGCGCTTGGGCGGGAGGGAACAGAGTCCCTGGGATTGCCTCTCTTTACGTCTTACATTCAGTTCATCTCTCCATCCCTGCCTCTCCTAGACCAGTCAGAGAACCCATCCTTGCCTCCGGGGCGTGCCAGTCAGCATTTTCGGGGGAACAATAGAGCGGCTCAGAAAGATGCTGCTGTTCTTGAATTCTTATCACAAACCTAATTATATTAGGGAACGAATGAGAGGTCCCAGTTTAAAAAAAAAAAAGCCCTGAAATGGAGATGTTCTGCCCTCGTGTGTTTATTGATAGTAACTACAACTATCTGTGTTGTAGAATCAGGAGACCTGGAGAGACTGTGAAGGAACCTCAGAAGTCAGAGAATCCAACCTTCTCATTTTACAGATAAAGAAGCAGGTTGAGGGAGGTTAAGTAACTTGCCCAAGGTCACACATCCAGTAAGCGTCCAAAGCAGGATTCAAACTCAGGTCTTTCTAACACCGAGTAGGGCAGGCTGCCTTTATAAGTTTCACACGGACAGGGATCGTACCTTGTTTAATTTCTGCATTTTCTCCAAACCCTTGCACCATGCTCTGCACAAAGAAGGCCATTGACAAGTGGGTATTGAATTGAAAAGCACCATAAAGATGTCCGTTCCTGAGGGGAGGCTCAACACATGTCCCTACCTCAAGCCAACATAAACATAAGATCCCAGGGTTTCATTCAAGCTTGAATCATAGAATCATAGATTTTTGAGCTGAATGAGACCTTAGAGTTCATCACGTCCACCTTCTTCATTCTACAGATAGGTTAAGTGACTTGCCCAGGGTCACACAGTAACAGGATTTGAACCCAGATCTTTCAGTCCTCCAAGTCCAGTGCCCTCTACATTACCTATACTGACCCCAATACCTCTCCGGAAAAAAAAACAGCAACAAAAACCAAAACTAGAGATATTCTTCTCTCTACTCTTCCCAAGTGACAACTGCAACTTTTAGGGGTTCATATGATCATAGACCTAGACTGGAAAGGATGTTAGACTACATAGCTCATATTTATAAAGGACATCCTCATGACATTCCTGTAAAATATATGGTATATGTGTCATCATATACATTTTACAAATTCTAATGCTACCAATTTCTTACCTTTACACTGTCCCCAAAAGGGTTCTTCCCTTTTTCTTGCTATGCCAGGAAGGGGACCCTGATTTCTTGGAGGTCTTCTAAGTAAAGCACAAGCTTTACCAGTTCCCACCAGGTTGGCTACCAATGGCCCACCAGTGGTGCCACCAATGCACCGTGTCCCTACTATATTTGAAGAGACTGATCGAATGAATGATACACTTTGGGTGATACACTTTTTTTTGTCACAGAAACCCCTGAACAGTTAAGCAAGAAAGCCTTGCAGTCTATGTTGATGAAATTTGTAATCTTTTGAAGAGCTGAAGCCTCATTTTTACTGTTTTCCTGGCTTACTCATGCAGATTCCATATTTATACCCAGGACATCACTCTCATGGTGTCACTGGATTGGACGAAATTGATGGGTTGGGAGACGGGTGAACTATTTTTGTAATGGAAGAGCACTAGATTTGGAGGTGGAAGATGTTGGGTTCAAATCTCAGCTCTGCCTCTTGCTACCTGTGTGCCCTTGGACAATTTGCCTAACCTCTCTGAGCCCCAGATTCCTCTGGGGAAGAGAACGTTAGACTGAATAATCTCTACAATCCTTTCCAATTCTAAAATCCAATGATCCTAACTGGTCCGCAGTGACCTCATAGACTAAGATCTGGAAGGGTCTCTAGAGATATTGGAATCCAGTCTCCTCCTTTTCCTGAGGTTCAGTGAATTGCCCAGAGTTGTATAGCTAGTAAGTATTTGAGGCACAGTTTGAACCCAGGTCTTCCCAGCTCCAAGTCCATTCAGTGCTCTATCCCCTATACCACCTAGTCCAGTCTCCTCATTTTGTAGGTGAAGGGAGGCCCAGGATGGACTTGCCCAGGGTCTCACAGCTAGTAAGCGATGGAGGTTGGATTGGAACCCAGGTCTTCTTGTCTACAAGTCTCTCCCTCTATTCATCACACACTCCAACTGCAGATATGGTTCGTTTTCTGTGCTTCTCTAACCTGAGATTTCTACTCCACCAAGAGTCTTCTGGTGTCATTGATCCCTTTTGGAAGGCCCCAAGGAGATAGAATATGCTTCAGGACCAAAGACAGAGGTGCCAAAATGTGTCTCCCAATTAGCTGTCCCCACTATCTCTTCCACCCGTTCCCACACATTCTCCCAAGCAACAAAGTCTCTCTTTAATCTAGGGCTTCCATCCTTCCACCGTCCAGTTCTCCTGACTCTTGTTGGAAGTCCCACCACAGGGCAGGAGATACCTCTAGTGTCCTCTCAGACCTCGCCAAGGCCAGGAGCAAGAAAAGGAGCAGGCTCAGCCCCAGGGAAACTGGCTGGGACTTTGCCATTGTTGTTAAGTCGTTTCAGTCGTGTCTGACTCTTCATGACCTCATTTGGGATTTTCTTGACAAAGATACTGGGGTGGTTTGCCATTTCCTTCTCCAACTCATTTTACAGATGAGGAAACTGAGGCAAACAGGGTTAAGTGACTTGCA